TCTTCAAAAAGAGCATAAGCATCCTACAGTGGCCAGTACAGGGAAGTTGACTGCACCACTGGAACGCCCACGGCCAACTCTTGCCCCCACATATTTTCATACTCGTTACTTCAAGTGGAATATGCATCGCCCGTATATTGGAAAAGCGCGGCAGAGAAAAACGTAGTACGCCCCGGCCTTGGACGCCTGTGCACATTTCCCTCTACATCCACTCGGAACGTGAACCTTTCACCTCCCTATTCCAATTTTTAGTTAGACCCAGGAAAGCCATTGTACTAATTTTTCTTCTTATCTTGGTCCTTACCTCAGTAGACCAACCCCACGCGAACTCGTTTTATACGTTTTTACCAATCTGGGCCAGAAGTGCAACTGACCTCTGCGGGCTACATTCGCGCTGTAGCACAAATTTTACACTAACGCCCACGGACAAAGCAGAGGTTTAGTTTTTTGATTCTAGCATTGTGAAGTATCCGAGAGGTTCTCAAGGTATGGTGGATAGCAGGAAAAGCGCAGACTTCTTGGGATAGACAAGGAATACATCCATCTGCAAGCACGCCCAGCTGTGTTGATTAACTTGAAGATGCGCAAAGACGCTGAATCCCAGACAGAAGGAGGCCTACGGCCGAAAGTCCTATCAATGAGTGCCGAAGTTCGGGCGGACAACCCGTATTCTCGCTTAATGGCGTTGCAAAGGTAAAGTCTAAGCTGCATTGTGCATTATGGGAGGGCTTTGAAGGGAGTTTTGCTATTTCTTGCAGAAGTAGTGACCCGGTATCAGAAATCTCCTCCCTTAACTGTGGCTGTATTGTCTTTTTGCTACATGTCTGCGGCTGTATTGTCCTTTTGCTACGTGTCTGTGCTCCATTTCTCCAGGATGGGCGTGGTGCGCGACTACCAAGCAATTACTAAGAAGGCTGTGCTGCTGGTGGGTGTAGGAGGAGTGGGCTCTGTAGCGGCTGAAATGCTTGTTCGTTGCGGGATCGGTAAGATCATCCTTTTGGACTTCGACTCGGTCGAGCTGTCAAACATGAATCGCCTCTTCTTCACGCCGAAGGACGTGGGAATGACCAAAGTAGAGGTAAACGCCCAAAGCAGGCACTTTTAGTCAGAGCGTCTGTGGAACTGCCCATTCCTTGTAGGAGCTGTAGGCTGCATAGATTATCGACATGAGACTGATTTGTGTATTGTATCGCGCGCCTCAAGGCTGCCCGACGGACTCTTTCCTTCATTAATCCTGACGTGGAATTGGAGACTCACAATGCAAACATTTGCGAAGACTTCGATCTTTTCTTGTCCCGCATTATGAATGGCAAGGATTCAATGGTAGAACGCGACCAGGAAGCAGGGCAGACACATCTCCAAAGCCGCCGACTAAATTGCTTGGGGAAATATCCAGTTGACCTTGTTCTAAGTTGTGTTGACAACTATGCAGCCCGGATCACCATTAGCCAAGCATGCAACGAGGCTGGTGCGTCAGACGAAGCGTGTTGAATTTACTCCCGTGAATTTACTTTGTGTTCATGTGTTTCGTTGTAAGTGCAGCAGATGCAGAACTAGATATGACGTGATGCGCTCCTGCCTGACACCTGTTGATGGGAGTGGTAGGAAAGCCTCAAAACAACAGACAACAACCCATAAGCTTTCGAATACTTCATTAAAACTGTCTTCACTTTCTGATCAAATGTGTGCGTTGTGTGTAAAAAGTAGCGAATTATTGAGAGATGTCCACAGACGTTTTAGCAAAGTTCTTGCGTGAACTCTTTGTGCCGTTGCTAGCCCCTGCGTGCGCCAATCATTGTGTGCTCCCTCGCTTGGCGTTCAGGAGTGCCGTGGTTTAACAGTGGGGTCAGCGAGAACGCCACCAGCGGGCAAGTGCAGCTGTGCATTCCTGGAATTCTCGCGTGTTTCCAGGTCGGTAGGCATTGTGTTTTCAGTGACATCTGGTATACCTTGCTGTGTTACAATCTGTTGGACTTATCTGCAATGAAATGCTGACAAGAACGTGGTTTAGAGCCTTTTATGCGCAGTGCGCGCCGCCATACGTTGTTGCCACAAAGGAGGATGAGAATGCAATCAAGCGTGAAGGCGTCTGTGCTGCATCGCTCCCAACTACCATGGGTGTAACAGCCGGTAAGTCCAGAAGTGGGCGGGGAAGCAGTATTGATCCCGCTCGCCTACATGCTTGTAAGGCACAGGCGCTAAATGTAAATGCTGTGTTATGTTACGTACAATTTGGTCTCTGTGTAGTGTAGAAGATTCATGCTCGACGGTGTATGCTTTCGCTGCGAATACAGGCATTCTAGTGCAGAATGTCCTTAAGTTTCTACTTGGTTTCGGTCGACCGTCCACTTTTCTTGGTTGGGAGTCGCTGGAAGATTACTTCACCCCCTTGCGCCTGCGGCCGAACGACCAGTGTGCGGATTCATGGTGCTGCTCCAGACAGGTTCGTGCAGAGTTAGGGGAGAACATAACTAGTGGCGAATGTTTTTCTTCATTTCGACTCAAGTAACTTGACTTGTTATGTCCTCTACAGTAAAATAATAAGGATATTTTGGCCAAACCCCAGCATCATGGGGTGGTATTGGAGACGCTTTTATGTTTACGACGCAGAAAGAAGTGCAAGAACGGGGCCTCACTTTGGAAGACTACATCCGTAGAGCACAGGAGGAAGGGAAAGCAGATGGGCCTCTCCATAAGGACAATCCTTTTGGCATATGCCTGGTGGACGATGGAGATGGGGAGGATAAACATCAAACGCGAGGAACAGGTCCCGAGGCCATGAAGGATAGGCCACCTATTTGCGCAGCATCTTTAGACGACTTAGCTGCAAAGCTGAAGTCTCTTCAGGCCTGAGTCGGGCTAGCTGTGTGAACTGGTGGCACTGTCAAAATGCCAGACTGAGTACTAGACTGGGGAACAGTCCACATGGCTGTCCCGACTAGTGGCAATCTCTTTCAAAGTTCTACGTAGAAACTAGCATCGGTGCACAGCTCAAAGTGTGTTAAGCTTATAATCGGCCGTTGGGTCCCGCAGTCGAGTGGCCTCGAACTGCGAACAACATTTAAAGACCTTACCAGCGACAGCTCCCTCACCAACATAATTAGGAAGCACACTTCGGGGATGCTGCGAGAGGTGTGGTACCTTATTTTTACAAACTGACAAGTACGCGGCATCACCCCCATCTAGTTTTATTGCGTCGGTGTTCTGCTTCCACTGGTTCCCCAAAACGCCAACAATCTAGTTGCGTGACAAGCCCTGGCATTCCTTCGTTACGTAACTCCACACGGCTGCTATGTAGTCAGCACTACCTAAAGAGTTCACTGATCCTTCACAACCGCAAGGATGTCTTCTCCTCTAAAGACAAACAACTCTTCGTCATCGACTTCAACCTTCATACCGCCGAACTCGGGCACCATCACCGTCTGCCCAACCTGCAGCTTCGCCCAGTCTTCACTCACTGCAGAATTTCCTGTGCCCTTGGGGGGAGAGACCGCAACGACTTTCGCCATGTGGCAGCCAGATTTTGGGGACGCACTTGCCGGAATATAGATGCCGCCCTTGCTGACCGTCGCTGGCTGCACCTTCTGCACAACACAGCGTCCGAAGAGGGGCATAAGCCGTGCTGCTAGTCCTGACTGAAAAGCAAGTCACAACCACACACAGCAGCGGCGCATGGTGAAGAAAGCTTCATCGTTCTTGACTGCAGAGCGGGGGTGTGCGCGTACTGCGACGCTACCCACAGTGTGAGCCGTCTGCGAGGGGCTGTTACGTCCGCTTGTAGGACACACAAAAAATGCGTATTGTGTCCCTTAATGTAGACCAGAAAAAGGTTTCTGGCATTTGGGAGAACTATCACGTTCACGGTCGTGATCTTGTGGGGCAAGTCTCGGTCAGTGTGCGAAGCCAGCTCTTGCTGACACTTGAAAAGAAGAAGCCGCGGCGCGAGAAATGCTACATAAGGGCGCAAACAGAGTTTCTACTGCGGCCTGAATCGACCCGTTTCACACTAAGGGGAACGGCCCCGTTATTTTCGGCGCCTTCAGAAAGCGCAACGGAACCTACCATTTTGGCGGGGACAGCAGTCAAGAAGCGCAAGAACAGGTATGAAGAAGAAAGGTACCAGCTAGCGTTATCACTTGAGGTGCTCAGAAGATTAGTTAAATATGGTGCGTCCCTCGAAGACCCCAAGATTCCTTGCCTGTATAGGGCTGCCGCACAGCCCTAAAGGGCGAACAGCCACAACAGGCCCCATCCTGTAACAAACATTCGCATGAAGACCAACCACAAGATTTGGTTAAAAAGGAATTAGGATTTTCCCGCTATTTCGCTTCACGGGCTTATCGTTTTACCGCGATTTGTGCGCTGTTGGCGTGGGGCACGAGGCCTCTGTCAGAGTTCCAGTGACCGAATCTGGACTGTCCATAGCTGTATTTTATCTTTCTCCAGTACTTTAAGACGCCATTACCGTAAGTTGTACAGGTTTCTTCATTTTACTGGAGGGACAGGACGGGGAAGGCCGACGCTGGCAACAACGCCGGCCGTGACGGTGTACTGCAGATGCACAGTCTGTGAATGCAGGAGCCTTTCCTTTGCTCTGTGCGGCAGAAGTAATACGCTCGCGGGTTTTATAGCGTGTTTGGGGCTTTGAAGCCCGAAGGTAACCCCTTCGTCCCCAAAATTTGCTTAAGCCTGCTCTGCCTGTGGGTGTAGAAGCTGAGCACCGCTTGGTCCGCTGCCAAGTCTCCTCTGCCAAAAATTTGCCTCAGATATCCCCATAAGCATGGATATGCATCTACCATCAACTGTTTCACGTTTTCTCAACGGCAGATTAAGGACAAAAACGTGGCTTGCGTAGCACAACTTACGAACGGCTCAAGGTCAGCCTTCGATGTCCTTCTCGCCCCGCAGAGGCACGTAGATAACATCATCTCATCAACAGTTTAGGGTCGGGAGGAGCCTGTTGCAACTTAAGGGGCATCAAGGAATTGTCCTGCCGCCGGATGGAGGAAAGCGGGGAGCCCCATACGGAGGCTTCCGCAGATCGTGGGTCATGGATGAAGCGTCGCTTACGGGAGCAACGGGCCCAGCAAAAGGATTCACAACACGTTCACAACATAGCAGATGAACGTGCAAGTAAGGGTACACGTCATTCCTCCTCCTTGTGTGCACACAGCGTTTCCCATGCGCCGGAAAACAGAGCAACCAAGCAGGAACAGTTTGTTGTTAACACAGCTTACGCAATGTAGTAGACCCTCCGAGCAAGCACACACCTTAACCATTAGACGGGTTTTCACAGGGAAGCAATAAAATTATTTTGTGTTGGGAACGACCAGGTTGGGAGGCTTATCGCATCGTAACATTCTGAAAATATAAATTCGAAGCTAAATGCGAAACCTAGGTCACATTGCATGTTTTTTGCTTGTGTTCGGCGTTAGCTACTTTGGAGCCATTCTTCGTATCACTTAATCATTACCTTAATGTTGTCTGCAGAGGCTCTTTTGGAATATCGTGCTCGGTGCACTTCCGCGCGTTTCTGGATCCAGAGCGAGCTGCTAGATCTGCGTGTTGGCGGTTTTTCCCATTCAAGCGGAGCCGCATGCAGTGACAATTTTCAGTCAAACCCCCAAACAGGGGCCGCTACTTCTCATGGAGAAAACCCCTCATGCTTAAACCCAGGAGTGGTTGGAGACCTTCCCGACCTCATTCGGCAGTACCTCACCTGTCCCTTGCTTTCTAAGCTATTACAGCAAGACCCTATTCTAAGCGGCAAGTTAGCCACCCTGGATCGCGTGCTGTGGCAGCGACGATCGAAACACGAGACGCATACTCCTGGATGGATGAGTCATGAACCCCTCTGTCCGGAATGCTGTTCCTTTGGAGTGCCCCACGGGCCCTCAGAGGCCCCTAGTGCAGTTGTTGTGCCTGTGGCACCTGGGAGCGTGAACAATCACGGCACCTCACGAACGAGTACAATGGATTCTGTTGTAGGCAATGAGGGTTCGGCTGCTGCTATTCGGCCAAAGAGGGCAGTAGAAGACGAAAGCAGGCCCGTCACCGCATGGGTGTCGTGCCAGCAATGCATGGAGCACTTTGCCTACATTGTCGCTTCCCTTCTTGTTTTCCTGAAACCGTCGGAGCTCAGGGACCTTGCCGTTGAGAGGCAAGAGTCGCAGTGTTGTGGCTTCATCTTCTGCGGCAGAAAAAACATCCGGACTCCGGAGAAGTGAGCCGCGTTCCTTAAGGCGCCTTTTTATTAACATTTTTCCGTATTTGCCTTCGTATGTTATCGTTACAGCCAGAGCTCATATGATTCGAGATTGCACTTCCATTTGCGCATGTGTGTTTTTTTACCAGGCGGCGCACAGCGCTGTGGCGATGGACTCTAGATTTCGGGGGTAGCAAGGCGCTCTCAGAGGAGGAGCTTGTTCAATTCTGTTGCAGCCGCTGTTGTAACCGCCAGCAGCAGCTGCTGCGCCTCCTGGACGAAGAGCCAATGTACACCCGCCCGGGAATCAAGGAGTGGATTGGTGACGCTTTGCAGCGAAAGGCAGCGTACCGTCCCCATCCACACGGCTTTCCAGAGGGAGTCCCTAAGACAGAAGCTTCCTCACGAGTGCAAGAGAAGCAACCAGGAGAATCCGGGTCTCCTGACTCTGCTTCAGTTTTAGAAATATCAGAAAGGAGGGGAGTGAGGCCGGCTTTGGAAATGAACGAGTTACTGAATGATACGGCAGAGAGACTAATGGAACCCATAGTGGAGAAGCGGGTGCCGTGTGTTTCCTTCTCTACTGAGTCGTCTAGCGCGGAGCTCACTAAGCTCGACGACAGAGAAGAGGCTGATGGTACTAAAGTGCCTGTAACTGTTGAGGACGATAGCAGTGCAGACGAGGCGCCAACCAGAGGCACTAAAAATCAAGACGGCCAAAGCGTTTGCTTAGTAGAGGGGAGGAGTAGCCTGGCTCGGCAGGCTGCGGTTCCCTTAACTGACAAACGAGGCGGGGCCGTCGGCAGCAGTAGTATCCTCTTGCTGGACTACAACTCCGCTTCAGGCACTGGCGAACCCGCCAGGACGGTTGCTCCAACAGCCAACACCACAGCACTCCAGCAGCCCCAGGTGGCGTGCGAAGCGGTGACCGCGAAAGCGGAGTCGCCAGCCGCTCCTGAGAAGGCTGCGTCATCATCTCCAATCCGAAAGTTTCTTCAATGCCCGAATAAAACTGAGGGGAATCCAGCAGAAGAAAAACAGCAAGAAGAACGTGGAGAGCCAAGCCTACCCCACGCTGCAGGGCTAAACTCTCAAACAGAACCACCAGTCAAGTCGCGTGGATCCCGCGTTCGTTTTGCAGATGATGATGAGGAAGACGGTGCAGACGGGGATGGAGATGGGGACTCGGGAGCGTCTGTTTTCAAACATTTCTTCAACTTGCATGACGACGATGATGGACCGGGGTTCTATAATCGCTTTGACCGTCAGGCAGTAACAGGTAGTACACATGCTGCAGGAAGCCAGCTGCGAAACGGTACTGTAGAGCTAAGGAGCATTCTCAAGCCTTCTACCGAACCTGTTGACCCATCCCCGCCACCTACCAGTTCCACTACTGAGGCTCAGGTAGGCTACATGCGGCTCTCGGATGTGGTCATTGCATTTGATCTTTTGTCTTCTTGTTGCACGGACGCGTCTGCCAAATTCCTTGCTGGTTACCACCGACGGTACTGCACTTGCTTGTGCGAGGGAGCCACTCCAGCGTCGGGTGAGACCAGCTTTCGATGTTCTGAGAGCGGCGAGTCACCTAAGCGAGAGATGGTTGCGGAGGAGGATGAGTCGAGAAGCTTTCATTTGAGGAAGGCCAGTGAAGCGGACGAGTCAGATAATGTCGCATGCGTAGATGGAGAATCTGGAGATGACATTGAGCCGACAGATTTATGGAAGAGAAGGCAGCAGCAACTGCTAAAAGCAATATTAAGGAGCTTGCCGCCTTCTGCAGACAGTTTCATTCCACTCATCACGGAGCTGTGCGAAACTCTGCAGCCGCTTCAGGTACACTTTATCCCTATAGCGAGCGTCCTCTCCTTCTAGAGGAGCATAAACCTCCCTTCACTCGTTTTATCAGTAAGGATGTACACAGGCGCGAGATACATGACCCCAGCAAGTGCACTCTTTTATCGATTGCAGCCCCGAGCTTGCCATGTGCGGTTGCGTGGTTTCACTGCAGCCTCTTCCAACTCTACGGTGCTCTCTCTGTAGCTGCCTCGCGGCAATGATCCTGCTTATGTTGCTGCTGCTACGCGCGCGGCCGTTGACGTGTTGCTGCTGCTGCGAAGGTTGCCGTCCTTGGAGCAACAGCCATAGTCGTCATTCTCATTGCCAACGACGCCCGCCCCCAACCTGTGGCCATGCCAAAGGGGAAGGGCAGGAGCCTACGGATGCAGCAGCGTCATTTTACTTCGACGACGCACTGACGCTCGCAAGGGAAGAAGATGTAGGACTTGAGTTGGTTGACTTCGTTCGGTCAACAATACACAAGTCGGCCCCTCCCACCGGCCCGGTTCGTCCTTTCGATCCCCCAAGCTCAGTGGAAGGAGCTGAGGTACCTGCTCAACATCCTGAAGAAAGAGCTATTCATGTGTTGCTGGAGTCTATTTTCTCCCGCATGACAAAGCCAATTATGCAATTGTGTGGAGCGGTCCAGTCTTCCTCGTCGTCAGCGTAAAAGACTGTCATACGGCTTTTGTTGCTAATGAACTTACGACTTCCCCATTTTAGAAACGAAACGGTATTAAGGGCATAACATACCGTGAGCGCGGCTATTTGGGACTAGTGTTATTCAAGTACCTTGGCAAATTAGCTGTGTATGCACCCGTGAGTGACCGAAAGATGAACTTGCCCGCATGGGACGGGATAGTTGGTACGGCAGTCTGATGTGAACTGATTGAGTTGTACTTTCAAAATAGTCACTTAGCATCTCCATAGGTTCCCCTGCGGCGTCTCAACACCTGCAGCGATTGTTATGTCTTGCATGGTCGGCGTGTGGGCAGGGCTGGGTGACTGCTTGAGTGCATAGCGCATAGCGTCATTCGCTGTGGTGTATTATACGATTACGGCACAATTGAGCTACACTCAAATAGCATGCCACAATAGCCATCGATGGTGGAGCTCACCACTATGCCTCTGCTCCGCTGTGTAAACCATGCCACAATGCAGGGCTTCTATGATGCCTGCTATTTCAGGCGATCTCTCCATTTTCGCGGGTAGCGTATTGATTACTGTACTCAAAATTGACGCGGAGCGAATTTAGAGGTGGAAAAGGCTCGAGTTTGCACAAAGAGTTGGGCGGATGGCATCGTTTGACTGGCAAAGCGGGGCCGGAAAAACCAGCTGAACTCCGGGCAGGTGTGAAACTTAATATTATAAGTGTTTCCATGAGATGTACGCATCTGGCACGTTGGGCTTCAAACCAGGGCGGGAATCGTGCAATGGCTTGTCCCCACAGTAACGGTACCAAGTGACCTCCGTTTCGGGGGCCACTGCGGGAAGCTGCACGTGCCAGATTTGGGGTAGAAAACAACTTGTCGAGGTTAAAACTTCTTAATGGTTTTCCTATTACATAAAGCGCATCACTTGTATGATTTTGTGCGGAAAGCGGCTTGAACATTTCGTAAGCATGGGGCCGCTTACGTGCATCTACGGCAGCGAGCATCTTTGCCTTGCAATGAAGCCATTAAGTGTGAGCGAGTAATTGCCCAGAATAGTGCCTCATGATAAGCTAGGGCTTCTAACTAGATACAATAGAACATTTTTCTGCTGAAACTGTCATGTGATGTTCGTGATAGGCTAGTGCTTGAAGCATCTGCTGCTAAATGCTGTCACCGAGAGCCTTGTACCAAACCGCTGCTTCTGAAATTTTCCGCTTTAGACGAGTCAAGCAGTCTGCATCTTAGTTTATTTTTCACCATTTAGCAGCAAGGAACACCGGCTCTTGTCTCGCATACTTGCAACACAAGGTTTGGCTGGCCTGTTTTTCAGCTAGGCAAAGGAAGGTTGCCGTGCGGTTTATCAAAACTCGTGAGCAGGTAGCGTTTCCGTAATTATAAGTAGGAAGCATTAAGGATCGGATGTTTTCAGGCTTGTTTCACAATGGGGAAGCCTTCAAATCGTCCCGCAATAGAGCGACTCATAGAACGAAGTCGCGTGCAGGAGCAGCGTGACAAGGTCCTTGCAGAGCTCGAGGCCGCGCGGATACAAGCACTCAACCAGTCCCGTTGCGACGCAAGGGTAGAAGCCCTAAGGCGTCAAAACTTAGAGACGGCTGAACTCAAGGGATTCGCAACTGAGCTAGAGATCACAGTTGAGGAGCAGCAAAAGCAGCAAAAATTGAAAGGAGAAGAGCTACAGCAAAGAATTACTGATACACTAGAACGGCAGCTTCAACAAAAGGAAGCAATCGACCTTGAGAGGCAGAAAATATGCTTAGAGAGTGAGGAGATACGCAAGCTCAAGGAGCAGCTAACTACAGCTCGGGTGAATCGTGAAAGAGCTGCTCAACTCCTCGAGCGACAATTTAGGGAGTAAGCTCGCTAAGCGTATCATAAGAAGCCAGTCTGTTCTGAAACACGAACTTCCTGTACAGAGGGCTCCCACTGCTCATTCTGACTTTGGCACAGATAGGTCTGCAGCGCAAGTTATTCCAACCACGTGGCTGTGAATTGGCTACTGAGCTCATGCAGCAACACATCTTGGCAAAACTTTATCGACTGATGAACAAATGGAAAAGCCTTTGCGGAAGCTGACTTTGACTACGCTTTCTGGAAAGATTTTTGATGAAGCAGTTTTCCAATATGTTGTTTTCGGGTCTCTTCGCTTGATTATTCCTGCGTCATTGGAACTCGCGCACAATAAAAAAAATTCTCAGAACTGCGATCCATCAACAGTGGCTGCTTGTCATCCTTATTTAGGCCTAGAACTCATTGGCATTGTGATAGTGCATTCCACAGTTCACACTAACCCCGGCTGTTTTTATGTGCTTGAGAGTGTCATCTCCATTCTTCAGACGCTACTTTAGGTTTATGTTGCAGAGTTGATGCTGCGCTAGCGGACGCACGGCTTGATTTAGCTATGGAAGAGCAAAGACTGGCAGAGTGTGAAAATGCCCGGCGGCTGGAGCTTGAACGCAGCATGCAAATGAAGAGAGTAGGACTAGATCTAGTAGCACAGATGGAAGCCAGGCAGCGCGCCAAACAAGAAGAAACTGTGGAGAAATACACCCGCGAAAAGGAACAGGTCGGCTTGATGCGAAGCTGAGTAGTCCCCGTTCCGTCCATCTTGATTTGATGCATTGGTCATTGACACGGGAATGGGAAGTTGCTCATAAAATTTTGCTCCGTAATCGCTCTTTTTTACTACCTCCAGGTCGGCGCAGTCGTTGCAAGGCTGCTTGAAGAAATGGAAAGTGAAAAGCGGCAGTACATTGAACGGCGTCGCCTCCATGCACATATGATCGAGGAAGCGATGAAAGAAAGGCAACGGCAAAAACAGCAGTTGCTTGAAGAAAGGATTAAAGAAGAAAATGAAATTAAGGTAGCAAGCTTTCACGCTTCAGATCGAAACTAGTGACGCAGCTGCGGTTAAGCAGGAGTCAACCTGGTTGCCATTCAGAGGTTGAACAGCAGAATGTCCGGTGCTTCTTACTTTTCGTACGTCTAGGCATACCTCGAAATGCAGCGTAAACGCGCAGAAGACGCAGCGCGGGAGAAAGAGTTGATCAGGAAGGAAAAGGCAAGAGTGCTAAACGAGCTGTTGCAACAACAACTACAAAGGCAGAAGGAGGAAACGGATCATGCACAGCTAATGGCCGAGCTTTATGAATACGAGCATGAAGAACAAGAAAGACGAAAAGAAGAGGCTCAAAAACAGAAAAGGTAGGAAAAAAACAGTTCCAGCTGGGAGCCGTCGTATCCGCCGCAGTCTGCGAATTTCTTGAATAACGAATTTTTTGGTGAACAGCCATGAATAACTGTGTAGCGACTGGAAAGAGCACTGCATTTGTTCTCTGTCACTTCAGACTAGAGGAAAGAGCTGCGCTCGCTGCAGCATTCAAGGAGCAAATGGAGGAGAAAGAACGGAGAAGACAAGCACTGTTGGCTGAAGAGGGACAGTTCAGGCGAGAACTGCAGGCGAAGTTCGCCAGGGAAGCCAGAATTGAGCAGATGACCCAGCAAAGACGCAAGCTTGCTATCTTGGAGCACAACAGACAGGTGATAGCAATATAGGTTCCCTTGGATGCCTCTTTGGCTGCTGTCAGCAAGCTGTCGCTCGTCAGAGACACGTTGAGACTTTCTGAATACTGTCGTGATATTCAGGTAGAGGCAATTATCCAGGAGCGTCGTCACCGGCTTGCAGAAGAACGGGAAAGGGATAAAGGAGAATATCGCAAATATCTTGAATTAGAGGCCAAAAAGCAGGCAGTAATTCAACAAGAGAGGGAACGACTATTGTGCGAAAATGCAGAGCTTGCGGATTTCTTGCCAAAGTACACGCTGCAAGACAAACGAGAGCAAAACATTGTTAGAAGCGCGAAACAGCAGAATGCCACTATTCACCTGGATTCTGTGGCGTCACTTCCTAGAACACTTCGAACGCTGCCCCTTGCGCAAACCACCGAGGCATTCAGTTGATTAAAACAGTGGGTACTTGCGATTAAGGCATATTTTTTGCCTGGATTTCCGCTTGGTGTAAGTCCAGCTTCTAGGAATTATAGTGTCTAAATTTATTTTTGTCTTTTAAGTAATGCTCACATGCTCAGAATGTTCTTTTAAGTTGTTTTCTGATTGAACAAGCCTGACTGAGGTTGCGGCCAGTGAATAATGTTCGTACCAAACAATAGATCAACTTACTTCTTGCAGCCCAGTGCCCCACCACCACCACTGCCTTGCGGTCTCAAGGATAATCTGAACTTTAGTCAAGGGGACAGCAATTACTCAGCTGCGTTACGAAAGGCAAACCTGTCGAAAGCATCTGTTGACAAGAGCTACAATTTTCTAGTAATTTTCTCACTGATATCCGCTAAATATGCCTAGTAACGGCTACACAAGGGATGGTTGCACGCTTCTTTGTGGACGAAGGGGCCAACTCTGGTAGTCGAAGACAAGTAGCGCTGAATAAACCAAACAAAGTATCACTGCTGACAATCAGTGTTTGCCGGATTCAGCATCTCGCCCTCACCAAAGCACTTCGGCAATTAAAGTGACTCGACAGATTGAATTACAAACTGTGAGCACCGCCCCACTTGGGCCTCAGTTGAAGCCTCGCCTGCGGCCGTGGAAGCATAAGAAACGCGAGCAACGGTCAAAAAAGTCAAAACAGTTCTCTTAACTAGCTGATCCACTTTTGCACTTGGCTCATAAAGCTACCGTTGAATCCGGACCAGCCCACAGACAGCGGAGCTGCGCTGTGTGGATTTCCACCTGTGGAGATCTCAGATTTTTTATCTTCGTTGCGCTCCCGCTTTTCATCCGGTCTATCTTCCCTGCTGGTCCCATGACGCATTTTCTGGCGATGACGGGAAGAATAACGTGATAAATCTGCATCTGGTGCTGTTGCGCTGGTTGACGTTCGGCGATAGGACACAGCAGCAGCTCCGCTGCCATCTAGCCGTGTCGCTGATTCCTTATGTCCGCATCCGGGGATATCCGTTCCAGCTGTGCTGAACGCCAAATTTTCCCGCTGCCTAGGTGAACGGTATTCAGATGCCGCTGAACACTGTTGCCTGCTCAGCAAAGGGTTGACTGTTCGCCGAGGGCCATAAAGCGATGAATCGTGACCAGTATTTAAAGATCTAGTGGTTCTGGCCCCCGATTCGCTCCTTGGACGACATGAAGAACACGGCATCTGGGTTTCGCCGCTCTTGCTGTGTCTAGACCGTTTTGCATCAGAGTTCTGCGAGCTCCGGGGATCCCCGTGTCGACGGCCTGTACTACTGCGCGCAGAACTAACTCCCAAGAAATCCGATGATGCAAGAGAACACTTGCTATGATCTCTCGAGTAAGGTGGCAGCTTGGTTGCATGAGCTAATAACGACCTCTGGGCAGGCAATACGACAGACGACGTGGAAGCAAGAGACCGTGCAGATGCCGGCGGGGCAGGCAAGTGGGAATCTCGAGCTAATAAACTACCTTGCTGATGCCGAGAGATGCCAGAGAGGGTTTGGCACTTCTCGCCCATGCGGCTACCGCCCAGGAAACGGGCACTATCAATTGGTGTCTGCTGCAGTGCAAATGCTCTTTCAGCTCGTGAGACGGGATGGTGCGCAGACAGTTGTGGCCTATTTAGGCCTGCTCCATTGTCCCGAAGTACCTGCTCCTGGTCAGACGGATAGCGCAAACCGCCAGAGCTGTAGCGACGCTCTCCCTGGAGCAGAAACTCCTGGCGACCTGCAGATGGAGTCATACTCCCACAATTAAAGTTGGACACTGAAACTGAACGTGACGGGACTGCATTACTGGCAGCGTAACGAGCTGCACGGTCCCCAATGCCTGTTGCTTGACTTTTGGATGCTTTGGGGCTCCACAAGGACCCGGCCGAGCTGTTGATGCGTTGCACTACACATGAAGACAAGATAGAATCCGGGGGCCCCGGGCTGGCCTGCATACTCTGGGGAGAAGCAGAAATTGATTCCGATGGCTGAGGTCGCAGACGCGTGTGCCTATGTAGAACACTCTCCCTGCCCTGCAGCACTGCCCCCTGATGTGCGAAACGATTGCCTGCAAGAGCGTTGATTTGCCTTTCGAATGACCCGTCTGTAACCAGGTATGAACCACGCTGAGACGGCATGGAAGGGGGCACTCCTGGCTTCTCAGAATGGCTGATGAATGAGCTGCTGGTGGTTGTGGGCGCATCTTCGATTACACAGCCATGAAGCGGCAAGCTGCACTGGCTGCCCATAAGACTGCTGCTAGCACAACTGGACGTCTCTTCAGAGCCGCTGGACCGATCATCAGGAACGCACACGCCCCTGCTTGAAGCGCTCAAGGCGTGCTGTTCCAGAGCCTGCGCGCTTGAACTGCAAGCATGCATTCCTCCATCACCTCCAAAATGTTCCATTTTGCCACAGTGACACGCCAAAGTGTTGTCATCAGACTTTCCTCTTGGCAGTAGCTGGTCACTACGGCTAGCAATGGAACCAGTGAAATTTCCAGATGATGTATGCAGGTGGGCATCAGATGCTCGCTTCCAGCCGTTGTCTTGCTGAGCTGGCAGATGCAGACTTCCCTCATTTGTCACAGTTTCACAGGATTTGCCTGGTTCTTGGCAACTGAGCCTATGTGTCTGAAACTCCGACTCGTGTCGATGTGAACGTTGGCCTCGAAGATCATTCCGTACAGAACACGTTCCCGCAGTATCTACAATTTGTCTCTCAGAAGAACACCTCAGTTCTTCCAATTTATGCTTCAACTGCACTTCCAACTCTTGTTGGAGCAACTTGCGTTGAGCTTCTTGTAGATCCTGTTCTCGCTGCTCCTGTCGCCTTTGCAACTCCTCCAGCTTTGTTTGCAGCGTTTCAATGAGTTTCCTTTGCTGTTGCTCTCCAGATTCTCGTTGCTCTTCTCTGCTCTTTCGAAGAGTTTCGAGCTGTTCTTGCAGCATGTCGATCCGCCGCTGCTGCGCCCGCTGAAGATCTTCGTGGTGTTCCCGCTGGCGTTGTATCATATGCTGTTGCTGCTGAAGAGAGGCATCGACAACGCCTGCAGCAGCAGCAAGCAGAGCCGCTGCAGACGCCGTCTGTTCATCCTGCGTTTTGGCGCATTCCTGTTGTATTCCACTCTGAAGATGCTGCGTGGGCCTCTGCTGATCATCTGTTCTGAGTTCTTCTTTACTCCTGCTTCTGCACGATTCCACCCTTCTGTCTTTTGTAGATCTGTCCTGCAGAGATAACTGCTCTGTTAGTGCTTGGTTTTGTTGGCCCATCGCCCGGGGTGGGGCTTCAGCTTCAGTGTATCCATGCTGGGATGTCCTAGAAATTCTATCCTGCCCATGGCGTTGTTCAGCGTCACTTGATTTTCTTGTTTCATGTGTCTCACTGGGCTTATGCAACCTGTGGCTTCTGGTGTTTCCTTGGGAAGACGGTGCCTTCGAGAAAGGTGGCTCTGCGCTGCTACTGCGGCTCCGTGGGCTACGACGGGGATTTACATTTTCTCTGCTTCGGCATGCTTCAGGAGCGTCTACTTTGCGCTTTGAACCTTGATCGTTCTTGCGGAACGACGACCTTAGATTCTCAGCTTCTAAGGCAGCTTTGCTCTCTGCTTCACAGGTGTAGCGTTCCTCAGGCAAGCGTGCGGCTCTAAGCGAGTCTCCTGAATCTTCCCTTTTTCTAAGCGTCCCCTCAGAGTCCTCTAGGATTTCCTCATGAGTGTTGGAAGAAGGCTCGCCGTGTTGATCAGCCCCATTATCTCCTTGAAGAGCTGCAACCTTGTGTCTAACAGGCGGCTCCGTTACTCCCAAGGAAACTGTGCGTCGAGCTCTCATATGTTCTGGACGCGGCGAAGGGTCTCCTCTTTCAGGTGACGGCGTATGATCTGCCCGGATGGACGCACGCGATCCGATCTTGCTCCTGAAAGCCGCTGAATCTGCTTTTCCGCTAGACTCGGAACCTATGCTCCTGCTGAGACAAGCGGTGGGGCTAAAAGACCCTGTCTCAAACTGTTCCCCGAGATGCGAACTCCCCTGACTGCCGCGCCTTAGAGATCTAAATTCGCTTGGGTCCTTCACCGAGACTGCAGCTGCTACTGCTGCAGAGAGCTTTTTAGATTGCTTGTGCTTTGCCTTTGGGCTATCTGCCTCTCTTGCTCTACGGGTATTTCCGGAAGTGTCGTCATCACCGTTTTTCTGGGAATCTGCACGACGGGCTGTGGCTCCAGGTAATGCTGCGCAGGCTCCTAACATGCTGAACATGCCGCTTAAAGTGCTCGCATCTAAAGCCTTCGTAGCCAGATCATCCCTTGTTTGGTGAGACCTGTTTCCAACCTTCCGGCCAACCGATACAATGGGAGACCGCCTCGCTCCTCCTGCAGCGCCTAGCATCAGAATACTTCTGTCAGAGCTGGCAGAAGCCAAAGCGTGACTTGAAATAATCCCATCACGAGGAGAGCTTCTCACTGGAACACCAAGTGCAGGTCCTACTTTCGGTGAACAAGAAATCAGGGAAGATGATGTACTAGAACGTTGATGTTCATTAGAAACGCTGCTGCCTGATACTCGTGATCTACATCGCCTTCCCTCGAGAGGTGAATGGAATCCACCAGTGTTGCCTGAATGCTCAGGGAGTGCCTTGGCAGAGCCACTACTTGGTGGTGCTTCAGGAGATTCGGACGCTACTAGTGCCTTTGCAGACAAGTGAGGAACCGGCGCTGATGCACCCTTCTTGTAATGCTCATGTTTTCTTTTGAATTCATGTGACGAGCGCATAGGGCCGTCTTTCCAAATAGGCCTGAGACGCAAAATACGCAGGATAACCATGGTGGAAGGAGTGCTCCCTATGTCTTGTTCGGCAAAGATATATTAAGATAACGTTTCTGTTGCTAAAATCAATTGTGCACGTACTCCTCTTCGCCCTCCTCTTTCACCGAATCTTCAAATCTAAGCAAATCGAGCGGATCTGAAAGCACGCATAGCATAGCGAGCCAGTTCACTCCGAAATACATAGCTAGACCCCAAAAAAATCACTCATTTGTAAATCAGTGGTCAGTTAAAGTCAGAGTAGTTCGGACACAGGTCTCTCCCGTTGTAAGCAAACACCCCTGGGGGAAAAAATATCCTTTCTCACCGAAAATATCTTCAGCTTCTGGAAGGCTTGCGGAAGAGGTTGGTTCCTTGGAAACACCATCTGTTGTCGAAGGCTCAGAGCGTACTGCAGCATAAGGGTATTCAGCTCCCTGAAGCATCCAGAAGGATTGAACACAAGTAAAGAACTCAAGCAAAGAATAGCTTTCGACTTAGAGCTCACCCACCTGACGAACAGTAGTTCAGTGTCACTTACAGAAGCTCCTGGATGTGAGTCGCGGGGCCGCCGCACAGCGGGAATATCGGCGTTAACCACTCCGCTAGAGTAAGCTATTTGCTTCGCGCCTGTAGCCGATTGCTCGCTGGTAGCGACCGCTTCAATCAAAGGTGCTTTGAGGTCCATCTCGTTAATGTTTGTGGCAGCACTTTCACTCTGTCGTCGCTTTGACGTTTCAGGTTCTTCGCTAGTATTTTCTTTGGTAAACTCGTTTCCCCTCGGAAAAGAAAAAGCACTTTTTTCACTAACTTGCCTGCCTTCAGTTGGCCTGCTAGGCTGCTTTTGAATGCCAGAGCCAGAGCCATCCCTGCTACTGTCCGAAGCAGAGGGCGCCTGCGACATCTCCAGTTCGTCTCCAAGAGTTGGTAGAGCTCTCCAAGATGCGCCGACTAAGTGATCCACTTGCCTTTTTTGTAAAGAACGTGCAGAAGACTCGCCTGCGGTTGCAGCTAGTTCATAGCGCGGATGAACACCACGTCTGTGCTGCTTTCTCCTGAAGTCAAAAAGTCGAAACCAGATCGGGAGAGCCATCAAGCAAAGGAAACCAGAAAGTCGCCATTCGCTGCACAGCTTCTCAAGGGGACGTACATCTCATCGGTAAAGGCCTCCAAGTCCTTGATATGTGCCAGGGCAGCCTTCATCCCTGCCTTCAGCTTCATTAACTCATGGTCGCGCTGCGCTGTTCCGACTTCATTGGCGTACGATGCGTCTTTTACTGGCTCTTCTTGCCTTGACTCTTGCAGAATTTGCATCAAACAATTACGCACACCACGGACCTGCTGCAACAGACGAGCTTGTTGTTTGTTCTTTACCTCCAGTATTGTGACCTGTTGAGCAACAGCATCACCATTATCTTTGCATAACCACCATCGCTAGCCATGTACAAGAGCTAGACATCAGACAAAAACCGGGGAATCGAAATCAACATCAACAGGGACAACTATTATGTTCGAAAACGGCTTGGCAGACCGCTTCTCACTTGCTGAACTTTCTCCTCGAGCCTCCCCTGCAACTGTTGTATTAAGGCGTCATTCTCCTCCGCCTCAGCCTCTTGTCTTTGCTTATCTTCCTCGAGCTCCAAGATCCGCTGTCGAAGGGTTGAAGTACCGGCACTTATGTCGCCCTGAAGCTGCTGACGCGCTGCTTCTGCCGCCCTGGCTCTGTCTTCTGCGAAGCGGAGTTGCCCTTCCAGTGTTTCCTTTTCTCCTGTGACAGATAACCACTGCATAGGAGCGAGGTATACTGCAAATCTCTGTTCAGTGCATGGGGCTATTCGTACCCATTACATGTGGTTGCTCACGCGTCAGCGTTTCCTTTGTCTGGCGAAGTTCTTCAGCAGCATCGGCTTTTTCCTTTTGTGCAACAGCCAAAAGGCGGTTCAAGTGCTCACTCTGCGTCCATTAGTCACAACGAAGAACGATCAGCACTGTATCAGCACTGTTTATTGAAGGGTACAACAAATGCTCAAAATGCTCGAAGCATGAATTGAGCGTTGCCACATAAACTGCTCCTTACTTGCAAGGTAAGCTTGTCGATAAGGGCATCCTTCTCGCGGGTTACACAAAGCAAATTCTCCTCTTTATCTGGCAGAAGTAATCACAGAAAACTGCGGATGCTCGTCAGCATTATGAGATAATCAAAAACCTGTTGTGGCATCGTAAACACGGGCATAAAAAGGCTATACTCACCATGCAGCAAGGCCTCGATCCGCTCTCTCTCCATTTGCCCAGAGCTCAGCGCCGCCTGCAGCTGATGAAGTTTCTCCTGGTCGCATAAATGCTGTTCCTGTTGCATGCGCAACTGGCTGTGCTCGTGTTCAAAGCCTTCCAAGCGCTCGACAAGCTGTTGCTTCTCTGTTCTCATCCGTCTAAGCGATAACACTGCGTCATTCATCTCCTGGAACACGCACGGGGCACAATGCCTTGGGGAAATAAAGGGACCTACACGATGCTGAGCAGCATTTTCTGCAAACGAGAAACACGACTGGCAATGAGGGGCTTCATACGTTGACCAATGCACGCAAAAGTACCGATTGTGTGCAGATATATAAACTGCAGGTGCAAGACAAAATGCTTCTTTATTGACGGATTTTTCTGCGACATGGGGGCATACATCGTTTCGTTTGTCACGCTCGGCAGCTATTCGGTCCATACAGTCAATTGCAGCTGCATTCAAGTACCGCAAGTGCTGTACTTCCTTCTTAGACAGCATCCCACTCTCCGTGGATCTCCCGGCAAAAATCAGCAGTTCTCGCAGCTGGACAACTGAAGATGAACAGGCAAGAGTCGAATGTAGTTCGATTACATAGTGTGATATTTGTCTTTGTCATAAGAGCATTCAAACACACCAGCACATGACTGCATTGCAGCCCTGCAAAGCTTACAGGGGTCTTCCGATTCAACGGTCTTCAAGAGCGCCAAGATATCATCACGTGCTGATCGTGAAGACTCTTCAAATGAGCGATGTTCGGAGCCTCCGTCGTGTCTTGGTCCAGCTGGGCATGCTGTGCTTGAAGCAGAGCTTCCGCTCACGGGACGTTCTTGTTGTTCGCTTAGTGCATGCTCCATTCTCGGACTCCCTCGCCATTGCCCGCGTTGCGACTCGTCACCATAGTTCTCGTCGAGCCCGTCACATGCCAGACTGGAGGCAGCTGAGTTACCGCTCCGCAGCTTTTGGTCCTTCGCGTCTTTTTCATAGGTGGCTCCAGCACTGCCGATGTTAGGGGAAGCCCAAACTGGCACACAGTGGAACTCAGACGTAGCGCTGCTGGCTCGGGACAAAGTAGACGGAACAATCCGTCCAGAGTCTGGGGGTGTTGCAGGTTGACCAGCATCCTGAGAATCCCCATCTGGTAGCCTGATAGCTGTGGATTTCTCTTGAAGATAGCTCTTCAGAAATCCAAAAACCATCATGGATAGTTCTGTAATCGATAGGACAGACGTCGGCTCCAAGAGAGACGTCTCCCTGTGCACTTCATCCCAAAACAGGCTAGAGGGGCATGCCTCCCGTGCCTGAAGTGAACCGCATCTCCTGTCCTCCATTTGCCGTTCATTATGACGGAAGGTAACCGACTTGTTCGTCTGGTCGATGATTTGGAGCACTTCGTCTCTGGAAAGCAGCACGCTGCTGGTCGGTCCCTGTTGCTTCCTCATAGCCTCAGCAAGCAACCCATCCCTGCACAGGAAGCCGAAATCAAGCTGCCGTAGCCGGTATATTGGAAGGAAGCTGTGGTGTAGATGCTAGAAACAGCGGACCGGGCAGCGCTGGTGCAAGCACATGCACTTCGGTATGCATGCATTAATGTGATGGCTACTGAGATGCCATACCTGAAAACCTGCAGCCCATAAACCTTATCGTCAATATGCGTAGTTGGCTCTCGGATCCCCAAGAGTTCAAGAAGATTCTCCATGCCTGAAAATAAAAGGGTACGACTGCACCCATAGTTAAGCGGAACGTGCCGAAGACTGCGTAGACACACACGCTGTGGCGAGCCATCCACTAGCGTCAATACTGTACTGACCAGCCCAAAAGCTAAGAAAATTAATCTCTCCGTTGTTGTCTGCTTCAAAACACTTCTTGATCAAGTCCTCAACTTCTTCTTTGTCCATGGGTGCCGCCTACACACAGAATTCAAGCGGTAAGTTCCGGACTTATTTCCAAACAACAAGGAGTCCATAAGTTGACGACAAAAGCTAGCGGCAGTCTGGAACAATGCAGGAAGCTCTGACTGACCATCAAAAGGTGCTGTGTAAGCAGTTGCTGTTCCGCTTCTAAGCGGACTAGTGGCCAGCCGCTGCCGCGGCAGCTGACAAACAGCTCCAGCACAGCGTGTATTTCATCCATTCTCCTCAAAAAGACGGCACGCGCGGAAGCAAGCGACTAGTGAGAACTGTTGATATTCATGGCATCCATGGGAGTGAAAGCGCAAAAGACAGGAAAGCCGCGACGCAGTTCCAAGAGTGGTCTTCACCCAGCCAGCCAGCCAGTAAACATCGCATTATCCAATCCCTGCAGATCAACGAGATTCACTGGTGTAGAACGGTTGAGACCATGGTGGGCCCGGGGTTGAGGCAAATATACTTAAGTAGGCTGCGCAGTTTGTATTTGCAGCCCGTGAGATTGATGCCTTCAGTGCTAGCCGCACCGAATCATACAGTTAAGGATGGCAGGAAGCTCCTGCAAGAACGTACTAGGAGACATTGCCTCTGATGCAGAGCCATAATACCAGAGGGGGGAAAGCTACAGAATTTAGAGGAGCCCAGTGAATGTAACAGATGGAGCTCCAGGTTCTGTAATTACGTAGTCGAACTGCTAACTTGAAAAAGTCGACTACAGGAAATAGACAATTCCTGAAAGGGGATATGCCGGTGAAAGTGGGAGACATAAGGGGCCCCTGCAGTATATCATGAGACCGCTGCCACGTTGGGAGACACAGAGCAAGTAGATCACTTGCTGCTTCTGCCGCAAGTTGCTCAGCCATTCATGACTCTCAAATGTTAGTAAAATACAATGACGTCATTTAATATGCCTTCATCGGAACGCCGCTACACACGTGTCACTGGATACTGGGTACCTACTCGCCGTGGCGGCCCATCAGCAACCAGCGGCACCTGGGGCCCTTCACAACAGTGTGCAGGAATCCAATTTTACTCTACTGCAAGGATTAAAAGCATTGTTCTACCACTGTTAATTGTTCATCATGGGCCGTTTTTTAGTCAGAGATCTGGCAGCGCCCGTAAGGACCTGTACGGGTCAACATTGAGCTGCTTTGAAATGACGGGGCCCCCTGTCCCATGATCGGACAGCCCCTTCAATGGCAACTGTTTTCCATGCACGAACAACGCGAATTATGGATATAAGACTCTTCATTACTCTTATCCCTTGACGATGAAAAGCGGATTACCTGCGACTTCAAGCGGATATTTCTCGTGTGTGGTGAGCACGCCTAGAAGACCACTGAGGCACCGGGCGACTGAGTGCAGTTCCCAGCTTCCGGGTTCTCATTACACAAGTGGATTAGTCAGGCACTATTTGGTTGCAGTGCAACCCCCAACTTTTCGTTATTCGGCGCCGCCGTCATCGCAAGCTAGTTCCTGCGCACTCACCACTAAGCTACGCATTGCAAATTCGCCTCCGCTGCTCATAGGGCTGCGTCACTCACAAGTCCGTAGCAGACTTCAGAGGCTGTGGCCATAGTACAGAACTGTAGGCGTTGTGCGGACTGATGAACGAGAGATCCATGTTTTCATCTATCCCGTGCAACACCATGAAAGTAGAGAGCAACCTTACTCCACTCCCACCTCTTGCGGAGTAGACACAGCTCTTTTAACCGAAATATTTATTAAAGACAACGAAGTTTCCTTGAACACACCTGACTATCAATGCAGAATCTCCGCCTACTGGAATCCATTTAGTAGAAACGAGGGAAGTTCCTTGGAGCAGGCCTCACTAGGAATGCAGAGCATTTGCCTACTGGAATATTTATCAAAAATGAGGGGAACTGCTTTGAGCAGATTATAATGCCCACATCAAACATCCGCCTCATTCACATATCTATCAAATAGTGGCTCATTCATTCATTCATGCAGTCTGCTCACCAGAGCAGTCTCACAATTGTCCCCTGCTGCATATAGCACTGGCGTACGGCAGGCAGATTTTCTGCAGCCACGCAGCCTACCTATCCAGAATTTTCATCGTCGAGCACTACATCCAGAGCCACACAACCGCGTCATCTCTGTACCTACACTTGTGAACAAACGCAAGTGCCACCGGATTGCGACAATTGGAGAGGGATGCTGGCTAAGGCCACTACAAGCGCTTGATTGTATTATTTAAACTTGAATAGGGTGGAGCATAGGAATATGACGCTGCTTACTTGAAAGTGTTCCTCGCTAAGGCGGATGCTCAGCAAGGGAACTTGGCAACTCCACAGACACGGCTTGTTGAGCTCAGATAGCATATATTCAACAGAATAATTGTACATGGAGCTCACTGAACAAAGAAGTCGCTAGTTTCGTGTCCTGTAGCGAAAAACATTTGCATTTGCCTTTTACAGAAGGGAGGATAGGACTGCCGCCATCATGTCGCTTTTTCGCTTTTTTTCCGTCAGTGCATGAGAACACTTGTGTAGAGTGCAACCATGTTTGTGCCTTAGCGGTCTGGACGGATTAAGCATAATTGTCCACTTTCTTCTAAGCGTCTTCGTGTATCATTCTAATTTTGCTTGCGCAGCTCCACTGCTCTACTATCACCAGGGGCCTTATTCGCTGCCAGCGAACCCTCCCGTTGGCAATACAATTGCCAGACCATCTGCAAGTCAGCAAGTCTTAGAAACTTACTATTCTGTAGGTGCGGGAAGCCAGATGGAGTCTTAATATCATGGTTCAGTGTGCATGCTCAGCTTTGATTGGCATGAAGGATGCGTGACCCTATACTGCAACACGACCATTTTAGTGAATGTGAAGTGCACATCAAAACTAAAGTTACGACTAACTACGACTGGCCTGGGCCTGTGGGCCTGTTTATTGCGAGCTTGAAACTCTTTTGAATGGTTCTGGTTGAGCAGACTCCAGTGGTGCACGACGAAGCACCACAGAAGAAATTATGCTAATCAGATGTGCTGCGCAGGGACTCATGCCTCGACCATAAGTTGCGTGGCATGGTTCCTTCCGTTCAGTGGGAAGAAAATCCGAGCTGCCTGGCTAAACAAGATAAGCGCATGCACAGACGACACCAGCAAAGCCAGTGCGAGGCTCCAAAGAGCGAGCTCTCTCAGGGTACACACTGTGGCAGCGGACGTCTGCAGAGACAGCAAATAACCGACAGGAAGTGCAACAGCAGTCCATTCACGGTGCTCGCAAGCACCCATGAACGAAACGCTAAGAGCTGCGGATTGATTATCAATGGAACCCTTATTTGGCAGCAGGTAAGCAAGAACAATGGCACCAAGAAATGGCAAGAGGCCTAGCAAAAGATCTAGAGTTAACGACAGGGCAAAGATAAACCGGCAAGCCTCCGCAACCAGTACGAATTGATTTCCAAAATTCCCAGTTACTCTGTCTCCCTCTTCTCCTGCATGTCTCCCAGTTCCCTCAGATATAGAAACAGTGTCAGACACCGTCTTGCAGCGGGCACGTGCTGGGGCATGATGCACTAAACGTCTGACGGAATTTCTCCTGAAGAAATGCCGCTTCTCATTCGGTGCAACGCGCTTACATGTTTTGAGTTTCCCTAAGCTAACTGCGATGGCGCACGTCATTGGAGGCGCTGGTGGCGCAGTTGAGGGACATATGCCCAGTTGCTTGTTTGCAGTGTCCTCATCACGATTGCTCTCAGTGTTTCTTACCCCGGGTGAGTTGAAGGACCTGCCTGCTTGTCTTTCACACGTGGGTTGACAGACCAACCACAGCACATCCTTGCTTCCGTCATTAAAATGTTTGGAGAAGACATCCGCTTCCTCCCGTATGTACGACGCAGGGGGAGTGGTGCAGGGCACTTCATCTGCTCGGAAGGAAACATGTCCCTGTGAAAAGGCACTGATACTGTCCTTCTCCAGAGCATTTGTCACCCAGAAAGAGTTATCCCCAAAATGCTGATCTTGATACAGAAGGAGCTTTTCGAATTCGCGACACCAAAAGCTGAAAAATGTCTGAAAACACACGCGGACTGTGTCGCACCACTAAATCACGCATTGGGGGTGTACTGCGATTAGCATTTACCTGCACGAAAAATCCTCACCAGCTGACTGCGTTGAACAAATCTCACCCACCTCTCGTAAATGGGGCAATTCGACCATATCCCGAAACCGGTAATGCATGTCTGGAGAAACAAGCTGGTCTAAACCACTATCTCCACGGGTGCTACTGCCGTCACCAGCAACCCCGGATTCAGGCGTCTTGTTCCAATGAGTTGGGGCTGGACAGTCAGCGGATTTAAATCCAGCCACGATTCGTGATGGGTCTAAACGGCGCTGCTGGTCGTGGCGTGGCTTGCAAAACAGGTAAGGCCGAGTGCCAGGCGTTATTGATTCGTTCGGTGGCAAATCAAATAGATCCTCGGTGTGCATGCACGCCAGTGGCTCTTGGTGCAGTGGTGTACAGCCATCCAACGTTCCTGTCACATCGATGAGCTGCTCGGTGGTGGATTCAGTATGTGGAAAGAGTGTATGAAGACTAGCCCACTGAATGCCGGCTTCCCCCTGGTTAACAGAAGAACGCGGGCTTATAGGTGGAACAACGTCCTCCGGACCACCTTCAAAGGAAACTGATTTAGTTTCGAAACTTGTCTCATTGAGTTGCGATGCTTCTGCTCTCCTAAGTGCAGTAATTTCAGCATACCTGAACGTTACAAGGCGCTCATACCAGTTAAATATACACCGTTCCCTCCTAACAATCATGTCACTGTAGTGTTTATCATCAAGCTGGCAGGGCTGTGGCCTTCTGTTTCCTCTCTTCAATAATCGAGCAATACGAGGCCCAGGCATAGCCTGCACCTGCCTACACTGTTCTTCGTTAATGTCAGCGGAAGTCTCACGGCGCTCTGAGCCACCCGTAAAAAAGAGCTTGAAACCTTTCCAGCCAGTTCTCGAGCGAAATCCACCAGAAGGAAG